AGTATGATTTTCTCCGGACCCTGCCCCCAGAGATCGGCCAGCTTCAGGACCTTCTGTAATTGACGATCCGAGAGTGCAGGTTGTTGCGAGAGTTGCCGCCAGAACTTGGCGGGTTTGCGAACCTCGAGATTCTGAGCTGACATCTCTGCTGGCAGAGTTAGGGCGGTGCGCTCGCCCCTGTCGAATCTTGATCACGGGATGCAAGTCGTTGTCGACCTTGCCATCTGAGATACGTCAGTTGACCCAGCTGCAGTCGCTGTGGCGTTGCGGCTGCGACTTGAGCGCCCTGCCAGCGGAGCTCGTCCGGCTTGCAGCCTTGGAGAGCTTGACGCTGCAGGCTTGTCCATTGGATGCGCTGCCGTCCGGGATCGGGCAGATGTTGAATCTGCGCGAGTTTAGATTGGGGGGTCATTCAATGAGTGTCCTGCCAGCGGAGACTGGGCGACTCGCAAACCTGCAGTCGCTAGAGATCACAGACTCTGACAAACTGGAGCTGGTGCCGCCAGAGCTGGGGCAGCTCACGCAGCTGAAGGCGCTCGAGATGAGCTACTGCAACAGGCTCCGAACCCTGCCGCCCGACCTCGGACTGCTGCGTGCTCTTGAGGAGCTCATCATCTAGAGGTGCGCCTCGCTCCACTCGCTGCCCGCGGAGATTGGACAGCTTACGGGTCTGCGGGTGCTGCGCGTCGACGGGTGCCCTTCGCTGCGCGCGCTGCCGGCGCAGGCGAGCCAGATGCAGGCGCTGCAGCGGCGTCCACTTGAACACGGGCTGCACGGGCCGCGCTGACTTAAGCGCATGAGTTCTCAGCGGGGTTGACGGCGGCGTCAAGCTAGACAAGTCGACGTAACATAGCGCCCTGAGACGCCACAAGAGGGCCTCCAAGAGGCTCAAAACAAATATGGTTGCCGTCGCGCTCTTTTGCCCCCGAAGGGCTCTTGGTGCCATGCCCTCAAGAGAGCCCCAAGACGGGCCCAAGACGGCTCCAGAGGGTGCCCCAAAAAAACCCACGAGGGCCCAGAGAGGGCCCCAAGCCGCTCCAGATCCCGAAACGGCCAACAGGGGAACGTCTAGTGTGCACCAAGAGCGGCCCCAGGAGGCCCGAGAGACCCCAAGTTGCCCCAAGAGGCCCCTCAGGAGGCGCTCAAAGCCCGACGGGGGCCTTCTGAGAGACCATCCTGGAGGACACCGAGCAAACACGGAGGGGTCCGTGATTAGCCTCCCCCGTGGCAGCCCGAACATGCGCCTCCTCGTGCGCTCTTGCACGCTCTCGGAGCCGTCTTGGAGCTTTCGTGGGCCCAGCCTGGGGCCCCCTTTGAGCGAAGAGGCGAGCAAACAAGGGTTCTTCCTGGGAGGCGCCGAGGCCACGTGTAGCCGTCCTGTGGCGGTCTCGGCGGCTGCGGGTTGCCACCTTGGGCGATCAGGGGCAATGCTGGAACCATCTTGGTCACAAAGCCTCCGGAGGATGCCCCCGAGAGGCCAAACTTGATTAAAAAAATAATGGTTGTCTGACCGTGGTCTGAATGAAAAACGGAGGGGCTTTGATTAGCTTCGCCTTGCCGGCGCCCGAAGAGTCATTGCCTGGGGCCCTCCTGGAGCACCCCAGGGCCGCTCTTGGGAGCTCAGGGGGCTGTCTTGGAGCGTGTATGGGCCATTCTCGGGGACCCTCTTTGGCGATCTTTGAGCCGCCGCATGAGCCCATCGGGAGCGAAAGTGCCAGAAAATAAAAAGCATGGGGAAAATCCCATGTGTGTTCGAATGATGTGTACTTGGAGCCGCCTTGTGGCGGTGTTGTGGCATGCCGGAGGCATGCTGAAAGCCATCTTGAGATCAATGCGCCATGGTTGACGCTTTTCTCGGGCTGTCTGGGGCCCTCTTGGAGCCATCTTCGGTCATCTTGGATACTACATCGCGTCGGGAAACCTTGGTCTCAACCTCAGGGAAGGGGCTCCGCCCGAGGAGGCGGGCGAATAGACGGCCCAAGACGGCCAGACAAGACCAGCAGAGAGCAGATACGGCCAGACAAGATGCGATGAGACCTGGCAGGCCACGCCAAGGCAGCCTCGCCCACGACGGTCTCAAGACACTGAGAGATGGCCCTCGTGAGGCCGACAGCATGAAAATATCGCGTTGGTGGATAAATGATTCGGGTCCTCTCGCACTATCGTCCCCGAGTCGGGGGCGAAAAGGCGAGAGGACACAAACCTTGCGGCCTTAAGAGCCCTTCGGCAAAGGGCCTCTGGAGCCTCCAGATGACCTCAAGAGGGCCCCCAGAGAGAGCTCAGGAAGAGCCCAAGACGGCCCTAGAGGCTCGCAAGAGGGCCCCAAGAGAGGCCAACGAGGGCCCCAGAAGGGCCCAAAGCCGCTTGCGTTCAAGCGAAGATTTACCAGACCAGAAACCGCTGGGACACATAATTAGCCTGGCGAAGGACCCAACCATATGCAGCTGCGAGTACCGCACGGATATGAGACGAAGGAGGGGGCACGCAAACTAGGCCCCTCTTCTCATAGGCACCGCGCCACTGGGGCCTTCGGTGGAGCTCCCTATGGGGCCACGAAACGTGTGAGGGGTGTGCCGAAATGGGTGGTGGGGAGGCATGCGGACCCTGCCACTGGGGCCTTCGGTGGAGCTCCCTATGGGGCCACGAAACGTGTGAGGGGTGTGCCGAAATGGGTGGTGGGGAGGCATGCGAACGCAGCCACTGGGGCCTTCGGTGGAGCTCCCTATGGGGCCACGAAACGTGTGAGGGGTGTGCCGAAATGGGTGGTGGGGAGCCACTGGGGCCTTCGGTGGAGCTCCCTATGGGGCCACGAAACGTATGAGGGGTGTGCCGAAATGGGTGGTGGGGACGCATGCGAACGCAACCACTGGGGCCCCTTCGGTGGAGCTCCCTATGGGGCCACGAAACGTGTGAGGGGTGGGCCGAAATGGGCGAGGGGCGGCATGCCAACTCTGCCACTGGGGCCTTCGGTGGAGCTCATTATGGGGCCACGAAACGTGTCAAGGGTGTGTCGACATGGGTGGCGCGGACGCATGCGAACCCTGCCACTGGGGCCGTCGGTGGAACTCCCAATGGGGCCACGAAACGTGTGAGGGGTGTGCAAAAGTGGGTGGGGGCGGCATGCGAACCCTGCCACGGGGGCCTTCGGTAGAGCACCCTATGGGGCCACGAAATGCGTGAGGGGTGTGCCAAAGTGGGGTGGGGGCGGCATGCGAACCCTGCCACTGGGGCCGTCGGTGGAGCTCCCTATGGGGCCACGAAACGTGTGAGGGGTGTGCCAAAGTGAGATGGGGGCGGCATGCGAACCCTGCCACTGGGGCCTTCGGTGGAGCTCCCTATGAGGCCACGAAACGTGTGAGGGGTGTGCCAAAGTGGGGCGGGGGCGGCATGCGAACCCTGCCACTGGGGCCTTCGGTGGAGCTACCTATGGGGCCACGAAACGTGTGAGGGGTGTGCCAAAGTGGGGTGGGGGCGGCATGCGAACCCTGCCACTGGGGCCTTCGGTGGAGCTACCTATGGGGCCACGAAATGCGTGAGGGGTGTGCCAAAGTGGGGTGGGGGCGGCATGCGAACCCTGCCACTGGGGCCGTCGGTGGAGCTCCCTGTGGGGCCACGAAACGTGTGAGGGGTGTGCCAAAGTGAGGTGGGGGCGGCATGCGAACCCTGCCACTGGGGCCTTCGGTGGAGCTACCTATGGGGCCACGAAACGTGTGAGGGGTGTGCCAAAGTGGGGTGGGGGCGGCATGCGAACCCTGCCACTGGGGCCTTCGGTGGAGCTACCTATGGGGCCACGAAACGTGTGAGGGGTGTGCCAAAGTGGGGTGGGGGCGGCATGCGAACCCTGCCACTGGGGCCTTCGGTGGAGCTCCCTATGGGGCCACGAAACGTGTGAGGGGTGTGCGGAAATGGGAACTAATGGCGATGGCTGATGATGATGATGATGATGATGATGATGATGATGATGATGATGATGATGATGATGATGATGATGATGATGATGATGATGATGATGATGATGATGATGATGATGATGATGATGATGATGATGATGATGATGATGATGATGATGATGATGATGATGATGATGATGATGATGATGATGATGATGATGATGATGATGATGATGATGATGACGATGGTGATGCTGGTGGTGATGACGATGATGATGCTGGTGGTGATGATGACAGGATGGTTGGGAACTAATGGCGATGGCGATGATGATGACGATGATGATGCTGGTGGTGATGATGACGAGGATGATGATGATGATGAAGATGAGGATGATGATGATGATGACGATGAGTATGATGACGGCGATGGGAGGAGGGAGGAGGGGGGAGAGGAGGAGGAGGAGAGGAGAGGAGAGGAGAGGAGACGCGGGGCGCTGTCTCTTCAAAACGAGGACCCAACACCACAGGATGGTTGGGAAAAAAGGACTTGCGCTCTTGACGCCAAAACGGCCCTGAGCGCCCCCCAAGACACGTACTAGAGGCCCCCGAGGGGGCTTAACACAATTGGGTTGAAAGAGCGAACTCCGTAAACCACTTGCGCCCAGATGGCCAGTGGGATTCCTACTGCACCTACCCCTGCCCATCAGAAGAACAACCTTACTTGGGACGTATCAAGGCGCCTGCCCCTACATGTCATCACCAACTGGACTGCGCCAGCGCTGCCCTCGAAGATGACGAGGAGGAGGAGGAGGAGGAGGAGGAGGAGGAGGGGGAGGAGGAATGAGAGGCAGGAACAGGAGCGGCAGCAACAGTAGCAGCACACTAAGCCAACAGGTCCAGGGGCGCCTTGCGAGAAATCCGAGGGATCGAACGCATCCCCCAGCCTTTTATGATGACAGCAAAGACCTCTTCTTGGTCAGGGACTTCGTGGTGACGCCCGTGGCGGAGATGTCCACTTTGTTGTCCAAGATGGTTAGGGGGCTTCGTGTCAGTCAAGCAGCACAGAGTGGTGTCGGCAAAGACCCCACATTGCGCCCCGCCCCGCCGGAGGAGATCGAGCGCAAGTTTGCCATCTTGAGGGAGTTCCGTAGGAACTGTGCACGGGAGCCCCAGCCCAAGGAGGAGTGCAAGGACCATGCGATGAGAACTATGCACAGGCACCGATCCTGTCCAGGCTCATCCTGGGCTCAGGACCGGTGCATATGTGCAGCCCTTGGCAATCCGGGAGGGCGTATGCACCTGTCCTGTGCTCAGGATGGGCTTGACCAGGACTGGCGCATGTGCACGGTCCTCTTCTTCTGCGCAAGGAGCAGAGCGCGGAGGAGGAGGCGGAGGCCGCAGGCGAGGCTGGGAAGGACGAGCGCGACGCCGCGGGCCCTCCCCGACCCGCCGCAGCCCGGGAGGACGCGCCAGAGGGCCACGAGGCCTGGGGCAAGACCACCTACGACCCGCGCAAGAAGGCCGTCATCCTGTCGCTCGGGGCACTTGGGCGACGAGAAGTGCGCACATGCACCGACCTGCTCGCGTCGTGGAAAGATCACGATGGGCCCTTGGGGCGGGCCCTGGGGGAAAGGGTCGGGAGTTCTGGGGGCCCCGCAGGGACTAACATGGCACCGCATATCTGGGCACACCGACCCTGGCGCGGCCCCTCTTGGGCCCAGGGTCGGTGTGTGTGTGTGTGTGTGTGTGCTAGTGTGTTTTTGCGTTTGTGCGTTTGTTCCCAACCATCCTGTGGTGTTGGGTCCTCGTTTTGAAGAGACGTCGCCCCGCGTTCTCCTCCTCTCCTCCTCCCCCTCCTCCTCCAACTCCTCCCTCCTCCTCCCTCCTCCCCTTTCTCCTTGAATTTCATCCACCCAGTACAACGTTTCGTGGCCCAATATTAGGGAGCCCCACCTACGGTCCCAGTGCTACCGTCCGCATGCGTCCCTGCACACCCAGTACAGCGTTTCGTGGCCCTCCTCCCCCTCCTCCCTGCGTTTCACCCACCCAGTACAGCGTTTCGTGGCCCCATGGGGAGCCCCACCGAAGGTCCCAGTGCTACCGTCCGCATGCGTCCCGCACACCCAGTACAGCGTTTCGTGGCCCCATAGGGAGCCCCACCGAAGGTCCCAGTGCTACCGTCCGCATGCGTCCCGCACACCCAGTACAGCGCTTCGTGGCCCCATAGGGAGCTCCACCGAAGGCCCCAGTGCCCCCGTCCGCATGCGTCCCGGAAGCCCGATTTGGCATTCGCATGCGTCCGGGAAATATAATTTGGCATTTTCACCCGCACAGTGCAGCGTTTCGTGGCCCCATAGGGGGCTCCACCGAAGCCTCCAGTGGGACCGTCCGCATGCGTCCCGGAAACCCAATTTGGCATTTTCACTCGCTCAGTAGAGCGCTTCGTGGCCCCATAGGGAAACCCACCGAAGCCCTCAGTGGGACCGTCCGCATGGGTCCCGGAAACCCAATTCGGCACACCACCCACACAGTACAGCGTTCCCCCCCGCCCAGTGCAGCGCTTCGTGGCCCCATAGGGAGCTTCACCGAAGCAGATATTCACAATTTCGGTACCCACAACTGCATATGGTTGGGACCTTCGCCAGGAAAATGTGCTTGTGTGTTTGTATGCTTGTGTTATTGTGTGCTTGTGTGTTTGTGTATTTGTGTGCTTGTGTGCTTGTGTGCTTGTGTGTTCGCGTGTGTGTGTGTGTGTGTGTGTGTGTTTGTGTGTGCTTGTGTGCTTGTGTGCTTGTGTGTTTGTGTGTTTGTGTGCCTGTGTGTTGGTGTGATTGTGTGCTTGTGTGCTTGTGTGCTTGTGAATTTGTGTGTGTTTGTGTGTGTATTTGTGTGTTTGTGCGTTTGTGCGTTTTGTGTGTTGTGTGGTTCTGCGTCTCTGTGTTTCTGTGTGTTTGTGTGTTTGTGTGTTTATGTGTTTGTGTGTTTGTGCATTTGTGTGCTTCTGTGTGTTTGTGTATTCGTTTATTTGTGTGCTTGTGTGCTTGTGTGTGGTTGTGTGTGTTGTGTACTTGTGTGTTTGTGTGCTTGTGTGCTTGTGTGTTTGTGTGCTTGTGTGTTTGTGTGCTTGTGTGTTTGTGTGCTTGTGTGCTTGTGTGCTTTTGTGTTTGCGTGTGTGTTTGTGTGCTTGTGCGTGCTTGTGTTCTTGTGTGTTTGTGTGTTTGTGTGCTTGTGCGCTTGTGTTCTCGTGTGCTTGTGTGTTTGTGTGTCTGTGTGTTTGTGCGTTTGTGCGTTTGTGTGCGTGTGTGTTTGTGCGTTTGTGTGTTTGCGTGCTTGTGTGTGTTGTGTGTTTGTGTGAACTTCTTGGTGCTTGTGTGTGTTTGTGTGAGTTTGTGTGTGTTTGGGTGTTTATGTGTTTGTGTGTTTGTGCAGTTGTGTGCTTCTGTGTGTTTGTGTATTCGTTTATTTGTGTGCTTGTGTGCTTGTGTGTGGTTGTGTGTGTTGTGTGCTTGTGTGTTTGTGTGCTTGTGTGCTTGTGTGTTTGTGTGCTTGTGTGTTTGTGTGCTTGTGTGCTTGTGTGCTGTTGTGTTTGTGTGCTTGTGCGTGCTTGTGTTCTTGTGTGTTTGTGTGCTTGTGTGCTTGTGCGCTTGTGGTCTCGTGTGCTTGTGTGTTTGTGTGTCTGTGTGTTTGTGCGTTTGTGCGTTTGTGTGCGTGTGTGTTTGTGCGAATGTGTTTGCGTGCTTGAGTGTGTTGTGTGTTTGTGTGTGTACTTCTTGGTGCTTGTGTGTGTTTGTGCGAGTTTATGTATGTTTGTGTGTTTGTGTGTTTGTGTCCTTGTGGGTTTGTGTGTTTGTTTAGTTCTGCGCTTCTGTGTTTCTGTGTTCTTTTGTATTTGTTCATGTGTTTCTGTGTTTCTGTGTTTGTGTTCTTGTGTCCTTGTGTGCTTGTGTGTTTGTGTGTTTGTGTGCTTGTGTGTGATGTGTGTTTGTGTGGTTGTGTGCTTGTGTGTTTCCGCATGTGTGTGTGGTTTTGTGTTTGTTTGTTTGTTTGTGTGTTTGTGTGTTTGTGTGTTGTGTTCTCGTGCGCTTGTGTGTTTGTGTGTTTGTGTATTTGCGTGCTTGTGTGTTTGCGTGTGTGCTTGAGTGCTTGTGTATTTGTGTGTGTGCGTGTTTGTGCATGTGTCTGCTTGTGTGTTTGTGTGGTGTGTCTGTGTGTTTCTGTGGTTGTGTGTTTACGTGTTTGTTTGTGTGTATGCGTTTGTGTGTTTTTGCCTTTGTGTGCTTGTGTGCGTTGTGTGATTGTGCGTTTGTGTGATTGTGTGTTTGTGTGCTTGTGTGCTTGTGTGTGTGTGCGCGCGTTTGTGTGCTTTTTGTGTTTGTGTGCTTGTGTGTTTGCGTGGTTGTGTGTTTGTTTGTTTGTGTGTTTGTGTGCTCGTGTGTTTATGTGGTTCTGCGTTTCTGTGTTTCCGTGTTTCTGTGTATGTGTGTGGTTGTGTGGTTGTGTGTGTTTGTGTGTTTGTGTGTTTGTGTGTTTTTGTTGTTTGATTGGTTGTGTAATTGCGTGCTTGTGTGCTTGTGTGTTTGTGTGTTGCGTGGTTGTGTGTTTGTGTGTTTGTGTGGTTGAGCGTGTGTGTGTGTTCGTGTGTTTGTGTGTCTGCGTGTGTGTGTGTGTGTGTGTCTGTGTGTTCGTGTGTTTGTGTGCGTGTGTGTGTGTGTGTCTGTGTGTCTGTCTGTCTGTGTGTCTGTGTGTTTGTGGATTTGTGTGTTTGTGTATTTGTGTGTGTTTGCGTGTTTGCATGTTTGTGTGTTTGTGTGTTTGTGTGTGCTTGTGTGCTTCTGTGTTTGTGTGTTTGTGTTGTTATGTGTTTGTGTGCTTGTGTGCTTGTGTGTCTGTGTGTTTGTGTGTTTGCGTGTTTGTGTGGTGTTGTGTATGTGTGTCTGTGTGTTTGTGTGTTTGCGTGTTTGTGTGTGTGCATCTGTGTGCGTCTGTGTGCGTCTGTGTGCTTGTGTGCTTGTGTGTTTCTGAGTTTATGCGTTTCTGTATGTGTGTGTGTTCGTGTGTTTGTGTGTTTGTGTGTTCGTGTGTTTAGTTGTTTAGTTGTTTATGTGTTTGCGTGTTTGTGAGTTTGTGTGTTTGTGTGTTTGTGGTTTTGTGTGTTTGTGTGTGTGTTTGTGTGCTTGTGTGCTTGTGTGTGTTGTGTCTGTGCGTTTGTGTTTTTGGGTGTTTGTGTGCTTGTGTGCGGTGTGCGATTGTGTGTTTTTGTGCGTGTGTGCTTGTGTGTTTGTGTGTTTGTGTGTGTGTGTGTGGCTGTGTCCTTGTGTGCGTGCCTGGTTGTGTGCTTCTGCGTTTCTGTGTTTCTGTGTTTCTGTGTTGTTGTGTGTTTGTGTCCTTGTGCGGTTGTGTGGTTCTGCGTGTCTGTGTTTGTGTGTTTGTGTGTTTGCGCGTGTGTGTGCGCGTGTGTTTGTGTGGTTGTGTGTTTGTGTGCGTGTGTGTGTGTTGTGTGTTTCTGTGTGCGTGTGATTGTGTGGTTGTGTGCGTGTGTGTTTGTGTGTTTTTGTGTTTGTTTTTGTGCTCGTGTGTGTGTGTGTTTGTGTGCTTGTGTTTGTTGTGTGTGTTTGTGCGTTTGTGTGTTTGTGTGCTCGTGTTCTTGTGTGGTTCTGCGTTTCTGTGTTGCTGTGTGTGCTTGTGTGTTGTGTATGTTTGTGTCCGTGTGTGGTTGTGTGGTTCTACGTTTCTGTGTTTCTGTGTTTCTGCGTTTCTGTGTATCTGTGCTTGTGTGGTTGTATGTTTGTGTGTTTGTGTGATTGTGTGTTTGTGCGATTGTGTGTTTGTGTGTTTGCGTGTTTGTGTGTCTGTGTGGTTGTGTGTTTGTGTGTTCGTGTGTTTGTGTGTTTGTGTGTCCGTGTGTCTGTGTGTGTGTTTGTTTGTGTGTTTGTGTTATTGTGTGTTTCTGGGTTTGTGTTTGTTTGTGTTTGTGTGTTTGTGTGTTTGTGTGCTTGTTTGTTTGTGTGTTGTGTGTTTGTGTGGTTGCGTGTTTGTGGGTATGTGTGTTTGTTTGCGCTTGTGTGGTTGTATGTCTGTGTGTTTGTGTGTGTGCTTGCGTGCTTGTGTGCGTGTGTTTAAGTGTTTGTGTCCTTGTGTGTTTGTGTGTTTGCGCGTTTGTGTGCGTGTTTATTTGTGTGTTTGTGTATATGCGTGCTTGTGTGTGTTGTGTTTGGGTGTTTTTGTGTGTTTGTGTGTGTGGGGTTGTGTGCATGTCTGTTTGTGTGTTTGTGTGTTTGTGTTTGTGCCTGTGTGTGCGCGTTTGTGCGCGTGTGTGTTTGTGTGCCTGTGTGTGTGAGCTTGTGTGTTGATGTGTTTGCGTGGTTGTGTCATTGTGTTATTGTGTGTTTGTGTGTGTGTTTCTGTTTTGTTGTGTGTGTTGCGTCTGTGTGTTTGTGTGCGTGTGTGACTGTCCGTTTCTGTGTTTCTGTGTTCCTGTATTTCTGTGTTTAGGTGTTTCTTTGTTTTTGTGTTTCTGTGTTCCTGTTTCTGTGTGTTTGTGTGTTGCCGTGTTTGCGTGTTTGTGTGTTTGGTTGTTTGTGTGTTTGGGTTTTTGTGTGGCTGCGTGTTTGTGCGCTTGTGTGTTTGGATGTGTAAGTGTTTGTGTGGTTGTGTGTTTGTGTGTTTGTGTGCTTGTGTGCTTGTGTTCTTGTGTATTTGTGTGTTTGTGTGTTTGCATGTTTGTGTGCTTGTGCGCTTGAACGTTTGTGTGTTTGTGTGTTCGCGTGTTTGTGTCCTTGTGTGCTCGTGTGTTTGTGTGTTTGTGTGTGTGTTGTGTGTTAGTGTGCTTGAGTGTGTCTGTGTGTTTGCGTTTTTGTGTGTTTGTGTGTTTGGGTGGTTGTGTGCTTGTTCGTTTGTGCGCTTTGGCGTTAAAGTGTTTGTTTAAGTGTTTGTGTGCTTGTGTGTTTGTGTGCTTGGGTGTCTGTGTGTTCGTGTGTTTGTGTGTTCGTGTGTTTGTGTGCTTGTGTGCTTGTGTGTTTGTGTCTTTGTGTGTTTGTGTGTTTGTGTGTTTGTGTATTTGAACTGTTGTGTGTTTGTGTGTCTATGGGCTTGGGATATTGTGGGTTTGTGTGTTTGCGTGTTTGCGTGTTTGTGTGTTTGTGTTTTTGTGTGTTTGTGTGCTTTTGTGCGTGTGTGTTTGTGTGGTTGCGTGTTTGTGTATGTGCCCCCCTGGCAAAGCCAGGACGGCGTATGCGCCGACTTCCGGGCTCGGGATGGGCTTGAAGAGTACCGGCGCGCGTGCACAGCTTTTCTCCGTCTAGGCGCTGGGGCTGCGCAGAAAGGATGTGTGGTTCCAGACGACGGTGGCCGCTTGCGGGGGCAGCATGGAGGAGGCGTTCCGCGTCGCCCGGCTCTGCTACGTCAGATTCGCAGGAGGCGCGAGCAAGGAGGAGTCGAAGGACAGAACATTGCATCAGCACAAATTGTCGGAGGTCCGCGCGGATGTCGTGGATCGGCAGTGTGCCCACCTGGCGGCATTGGCGCGCTCCGCGCGCCAGCAGGGGGTCCAGCGCCGATCCAAGAAATCCGCACGGACCTCCGAAAGTTGATGCTTACGTGTGCTCTTCTTCTTCTTGAGGAGGTGCTCGCGTACCGGCAGGCCCTGTATGATTCCCTGCAGGTCCCGAGCGGTCGGGCCTCCCCCGCGGGCGAAGCGCCGAGGTGCAGGCAGCAGAGCGCGACCGCGAGCGTGCCGCGGACCGAGGGCGGGCAGAGCAGCGAGCAGACGAATGGCGCACGGGATGGGGCGTGCGCGAAGGTGCTGAAGCGCCCGGCAGCAAACACGAAGACCGAGGCCGCCGAGCGCAAGGCCGCGGATGAGGCCGAGGCTGAGCGTAAGGCTGAAAAGGAGGCTGAGCGAAAGGCCCAGGAAGACGCGAAGGCCGAGGCTAAACGCAAGGCTGAGGAGGAAGCTGAGCGCAAGGCCGCGGAGGCGGCCGAGGCCACGCGGCGGGCCAGAGAGGCCGAGGCCGAGCAGAAGGCCGCGGAGGAGGCCGAGGCCGCGCGGCGGGCCAGAGAGGCCGAGGCCGAGCGCAAGGCCGCAGAGGAGGCCGAGGCTGAGCGTAAGGCTGAAGAGGAGGCTGAGAAAAACGCCCAGGAAGACGCGAAGGCCGAGGCTAAACGCAAGGCTGAGGAGGAAGCTAAGCGCAAGGCCGCGGAGGAGGCCGAGGCCACGCGGCGGGCCAGAGACGCCGAGGCCGAGCAGAAGGCCGCGGAGGAGGCCGAGGCCGCGCGGCGGGCCAGAGAGGCCGAGGCCGAGCGCAAGGCCGCAGAGGAGGCCGAGGCTGAGCGTAAGGCTGAAGAGGAGGCTGAGCAAAAGGCCCAGGAAGACGCGAAGGCCGAGGCTAAACGCAAGGCTGAGGAGGAAGCTGAGCGCAAGGCCGCGAAGGAAGCCGGGGCCACGCGGCGGGCCAGAGAGGCCGAGGCCGAGCAGAAGGCCGCGGAGGAGGCCGAGGCCGCGCGGCGGGCCAGAGAGGCCGAGGCCGAGCGCAAGGCCGCAGAGGAGGCCGAGGCCGAGCGTAAGGCTGAAGAGGAGGCTGAGCGAAAGGCCCAGGAAGACGCAAAGGCCGAGGCTAAACGCAAGGCTGAGGAGGAAGCTGAGCGCAAGGCCGCGGAGGCGGCCGAGGCCACGCGGCGGGCCAGAGAGGCCGAGGCCGAGCAGAAGGCCGCGGAGGAGGCCGAGGCCGCGCGGCGGGCCAGAGAGGCCGAGGCCGAGCGCAAGGCCGCAGAGGAGGCCGAGGCCGAGCGTAAGGCTGAAGAGGAGGCTGAGCGAAAGGCCCAGGAAGACGCAAAGGCCGAGGCTAAACGCAAGGCTGAGGAGGAAGCTGAGCGCAAGGCCGCGAAGGAAGCCGGGGCCACGCGGCGGGCCAGAGAGGCCGAGGCCGAGCAGAAGGCCGCGCAGGAGGCCGAGGCCGCGCGGCTTCCCAGAGCGGCCGAGGCCGAGCGCAAGGCTGCAGAGGAGGCACCGCGCAAGGCCGTGGACGAGGCCGAGGCCGCGCAGCGGGCCAGAGAGGCCGAGGCCGAGCGCAAGGCCGCAGAGGAGGCCGAGGCCGAGCGTAAGGCTGAAGAGGAGGCTGGGCGGAAGGCCCAGGAAAACGCGAAGTTCAAGGCTGAACGCAAGGCCGAGGAGGAAGCTGAGCGCAAGTCCGCGGAGCAAGCCGAGGCCACGTGGCAGGCCAGAGAGGCAGAGGCCGAGCAGAAGGCCGCGGAGGAGGCCGAGGCCGCGCGGCGGGCCAGAGAGGCCGAGGCCGAGCGCAAGTCTGAGGAGGAAGCGGAGCGCAAGGCCGCAGAGGAGGCCGAGGCCGCGCGGCAGGCCATAGAGGCTGAAATCGAGCTCAAAGCCGCGGAGGAGGCCGAGGCCGCGCGGCTTTCCAGAGCGGCCGAGGCCGAGCGCAAGGCTGATGAGGAGGCTGATCGAAAGGCCAATGAGGACGCGAAGGCCAAGGCTGAACGCAAGGCAGAGGAGGAAGCTGAATGCATGGCCGCGGAGGAGGCCGAGGCCGCGCGGCGGGCCATAGAGGCCGAGGCCGAGCCCAATGCTATGGAGGAAGCCGAGGCTGAGCGTAAGGCCCAAGAGGAGGCTGATCAAAAGGCCCATGAGGACGCGAAGGCGAAGGCGAAGGCTGAACGCAACGCCGAGGAGAAAGCTGAATGCAAGGCCGCGGAAGAGGCCGAAGGTGTGTGGCGGGCAAACGAGGCCGAGGCCAAGCGCAAGACCGCGGAGGAGGCCGAGGCTGTGTGTCGGGCCAGAGAGGCCGAGGCCAAGCGCAAGACCGCGCAGGAGGCCGAGGCCGCGCGGCGTGCTAGAGAGGCCGCTTCCGAACTCAGCCTACGGCCCACCCCTCCCCATGGCCGCTCGGTTTCATGTGGCTTCCATCCCACTGGCCCCGTCTGGCGCACATCGTGGCAGCCGGTTGGTTATCCATGGCTTCACACAGTTTCTTGGTTTACCCCTCTACACGCAGACACGCACGCGCACCCACACACACACACAGACGCAGAGCTGATTTTCCTCCAACGAGTTGACGGTACCGTCGCGAGTGCTTGACAGGGAAGCGAGAGAGACACACACACACATACACATACACACACGCACTTGTTGCGTCTGCGGCTGGGCAGAGGTTACTGCTCCGGCGATGTGGCATTAGTGGGAGAGACACACGCGCACACAAACACACACACACGCACACACACAAAACAGACACCATGTCCTCCCCGACGCGCCAAAGAGTCACATCGGCGGGCAATGACTTCGGACGGATTTCCGAACCATGCCTTTATTCTCTACGTTGCCACGCACACGCAAATTTCGCGAGCGCGGGAAACTGAGCGCTCAACCAGCCAGGGATGAAGCAATGCCCCTTGCATTTCGAATGAGGGAGTATCGACGGCAATGTACACACGCAATCGCACGCGCACACATACACACACACACGCGCGCGCACACGCACACACACACACACGCACGCACGCACACACACACACATACACACACACGCACGCACACGCACACGCACACGCACACGCACACGCACACGCACACGCACACGCACACGCACACGCACACGCACACGCACACGCACACGCACACGCACACGCACACGCACACGCACACGCGCACACGCACGCGCGCACGCGCGCACACACACACATGCACAGACAAACGCACACACGCACACACACACACACACTTTTCACTCCCACAGCCATGTGCAGCATGATTGCGTCGAATGCGGCGGGGGACCACACGTGACTTGAATCCGCACGTGTGGCGAAAACATTCGATCGCAGTTGTGTAATTTATCTCTGGCAAGGGGGGAGCTTGACGAGCAGCAGAAACACAGGGGGGGGCAGACAGTCACACGCACGCGCAGGCTCTCTCACACACAAATACACATACACACACATCAACACACCACCGTACACCACCCACAAAGGCCTTGCTTGTCGCACTATCCGGTGGTCGTTTGTATTTCCATGGGTTCCTAAGGGTTATCATAGTTCCCGCCTGAAACATTTTTAAAAAAAGACCCTGTGTGGCACACTTGGCGGTAGACGTTTGAAATCCTACTCGAATGGTTTCGCATGGTCCCCCCCACTACCCACCACCAATGGTCCCAGGTGGCACGCACTCTTACACACGTAGATTGTCTCTGCTGGAAGTGTGAGGCCCTGCCCTCGCGCAGCTATCCGCGCCTTCGCGGTCTGGATCCCGGGGCGCGATCCCGTGGATACCCCGTTGTATGGATACGCTCCGCGCGATGCATCCGCGAAAAGCAACACCCGCATCCAGGATGTCGCGGCCCAGCGGCCCAGCCCGCGAAGCGGTGGAAATGGATCTGTCTCCCGCCCACGATCACAAACACCCTTTCTCTCCACCGACGGCGGCCCTGCGGCGCCCCCCCCCCCCCCTGAGATCCGACGACGCGAAGACGTAGCCACCTCGTGAAGAACCACGACCAGAGCGGCAGACCTCGGCTGTCCGTGGCGTGACTCGAGCCCGATCGAGCTGCGAGGGTCCTGGGGACCGACGTTGGGCGTCGGCGCCCGTGGCGAGCAAAAGAGTGTGACGCCCGGATCTCGGGGCTCGGCACGCGGCCAGGCGGCGAGCTCGGAGGACGGGTGGGCCGACTGCTTCGAGGGAGGCGAGATCGTTCTCGCAGGCGCGGCCGGCGTTGCGTCCGCGACGCGCGGCGGCTTCGGCGCCGCCGCCCGCGAGGCGCTGGAGGCTCGCGCTCGCCGCTCGCCCGCGCCCCTTCGGACGTTCTCTTGCTGCTGCTCCTCCTCCTCCTCCTCCTCCTCCTCCGCCCCCTCTGCCTCCTACTCCTCCTCCTCTTCCCGAATTCAAAGCAAAGCTCCTCCCCATCATCATCATCATCATCATCATCATCATCATCATCATCATCATCATCATCATCATCATCATCATCATCATCATCAGCAGCAGCAGCAGCAGCAGCAGCAGCAGCAGCAGCATCAGCATCATCATCAGCATCATCATCAGCATCACTCATCATCATCACCATCATCATCATCATCATCATCATCAGAAGCATCATCATGATCAGCACCATCACCACCATCACCAGCACCACAACTTCCCTTTCTCGCTGTCACGGTCACCACCATACTCACCACCATCATCATCATCACCCTCATCATCATCATCATCATCATCATCGTCATCGTCATCGTCATCATCATCACCATCATTACATCCGCAAAGTATTCAAGATCGGGTCAGTACAGCACCGCTCCTATAACCCAACACCCTATCATCATCAAGAACATCTTTATCATCAAGCGCATCCTTACGATCTATCATCATTATCATCAGCATGGTCATCATCATCAAGAACACCAACACAATCAGCATCCCCATCATCGTCATCATCAGCAGCATCATCGGCATCAGCATCGTCATCACCATCATTCTCAGCAGCATCATCATGGTCGTCATCGTCATCAGCATGGTCTTTATTATCTTTATCATCATCACCATCGCCAGTCTCAGCGACATCAAAACATATCAGCATCCTCACAGGCATCACCATCACCTTCCCCTTCGTTTCATCTTTCCACCGTCGTCACCATCAGCATCGCCACCTTCGTTTCTTCATAATAGCCATTATTATCGCCATTGCCACCAGCAACAATAACCTCCTCCTCCTCCTCCCCCTATCGCGCTCCTGACCCGAATTCAAAGCAAAGCTCGTCCCACATCATCATCGCCATCATCAGCATCAGCATCATCATAATAATCAGCAGCATCACTTGCACCATCATCAGCAGCACCATCATATCATCATCATAGCAGCATCAGCATCATCACCAGCATCAGCATCACCACCATCATCAGCAGCAGCAGTATCATCGACATCCTCACACGAGCATCATCAGCATCACCAGCATCACCATCATCTTAATCACCATCCTCCTACTCCTCCACCGCTCCTCCTACTATTCCCATGTTTTTCTCCATGCAGCCTGTTCTGCATCCCCACGCTGCACGGCAGCTCCAGAGGACGCCCAGACCGTCCCAGTTCGGCCCCAGAGGCCCCCAACCTTGTCCCAAGATGGCTCCGCATGGGAGGATCGGCGCGCACTTTCCGTGTGTCTGTATGGGGTATCGGCGAGCCGGAGCCGACAGAACCCCAAGAGGTTGCAGGGAGCTTCAGGGGCTGCTCCCGCCTGGTGCCAGAGGCTTCCCACAGGCCTCCCAGGGGCCTCCAGGAGAGCTCCCCAAAGTTCAGACATTTGTTTTTTCCATAAAGTAGTTTTTTCCACGTTAATATCCATGCAACCTGTTCTGCATCCCCACGCTGCACGGCGGCCCCAGAGGACGCCGGGATCGTCCCGGTTCGGCCCCAGAGGCCCCCAACCTTGTCCCCAGATGGCTCCGCATGGGAGGATCGGCTCGCCCCAGCAGGGTCACATCACGGCCAGGGACGCTCCAAGATCCCTGCGACGCCGACGATCACCCCAAGACGGCCCCCCGAGCGACTTCGTCGACACGTCATGCTTCCAAAAGGCCTCCCGGGAGGGTTCTCTGAGGCCTTATTCCTTGTTGTGCTATGGTTTTTTGCACGTTTTCACTCATCCAGCTTGTTCTGCATTCCCCACGCTGCACGGCAGCCCAATAGGACGCCCAGACCGATGTGGTTCGGGCCCCCGAGGCTCCCAACCGTGACCCAAGACGGCTCCGCATGGGAGGGCCCGCGCCCCCAAGTAGGCTCCACGAGCCGCCAGAGTCGCTTCCGGGCCTGCGCGACGCCGACGATCGCAGACAGTCCCCCGAGCGACTTCGTCGACACGGCATGCTTCCAAGAGGCCTCCCCAGGGGGGCTCTCTGAGGCCTTAGTCTTGGTTTGTCCCTTCTGGTTTCTCCACGTTTTTACTCATCCAGCTTGTTCTGCATCCCCACGCTGCAGCAGCCCAATAGGACGCCCAAACCGATGTGGTTCGGGCCCCCCGGGGCTCCCAACCGTGGTCCAAGACGGCTCCGAAAGGGAGGGCTCCACGAGCCGCCAGAGTCGTTTCCAGGCCTGCGCGACGCTGACGATCGCCCCATGGCAGCTTTCCAGGCCACCTCGCCAGCAAAAGAGGTTCCCTAGAGGCGCCCCCACAAGGGCCCCCAGAGGCTCGAATCTTATTTTTTTCCCATGGCTTCTTCGGGATTTCTGGCCACCCAGCCCGTTTTGTTTCTCGACGGTGCAATCTCGTCCTAGAGGTCCCCAAGAGTGCCCCGCTGCGGCTCCAGGGGCTCGCAAACGTGCCCCATGAGGATGGGTCCACAGGCGTCAACGCGGGCCCCCGGAGCCAAGGGTCCAAAGCCCAGGGTCCAGAATCCATCAATTGCGGAGAGAAGGTGGCGGACGAGGAGGAGGAGGAGGAGGAGGAGGAGGAGGACACGGAGGAGGAGGAGGAGGAGGAGGAGGAGGAGGAGGGGAGGGAGAGGCCAGGGAGGAGACGAAGGCGAACGAGGACGAGGGCGAGCACGAAGACAAAGGGCGAGGAGGAGGCCGACAACGATGACGAGCAGGGGGGGAGTCCGGGCAGTTCTCTGTTGGGCTTCGGGTTTCGTTCCACGCTCCCTGGGGTGGATTTACCGCTCCGGTTCCGTCTGTGTGGGTCTGACTCGGCCCCACTCGGTCCACAAGCGATCTTGGTTCGGCTCGGTTCGGGTCTCTACCGCGACCATTCCGGTTCGGTTCGATTCGTCTTGGGGCAGGAAGGTGGGCCGTCAGGACCCTCTGGAACGAGGTCCGCTGTCGATGGCACTGCTTGCCGTGGCATCCTTTGGCGCCATGATGCCGTGACGAGAACCTAAGCGCGCGCGTAGCGCGCGCGCGTGGCTCCTAGTATATATGTGTGTAAATGTACACGTGCAGATGCATATCCACATACATATACACGTATACTACATTTACATATGCGAAAGAGCGTGTTCTACCGCTGCTGGCACAAAACCGGGGGGGTCACTACCGGTTCGAACCCCTTCCCCCCCCCCCTCCGGAAAACCGGGGGGGGTCACTACCGGTTCGACCCCCTCCCCCCCCTCCCCCATTTCATCATGAAAAGGGGGGGGGTCACTACTGGTTCGAACCCCCCCCCCCCCCTCGAGCTCGAAAACCGGGGGGGGTCACTACCGGTTCGAACCCCCCCCCTCGAAAACCGAGGGGGGGGGCGGACAGTGGTGGGGACGGTGGTGGTGGGGACAGTGGTGAGGGGACACCAGGACAGTGGTGGGGACAGTGGGACATTGGTGGGGACGGCAGTGGTGGGGACAATGGTGAGGACAATGGTGGGGACAGTGGGGACAGTGGGACAGTGGTGGGGACGGTGGTGGTGGGGACAGTGGTGTGGGGACAGTGGGAATGTGGTGGAAACAGTAGGACAGTGGAGGGTACAGTGGTGGTGGGGACAGTGGTGAAGGCGGTGGCGAGGACGGCGGTGGGACAATGGGACAGAGGTACAGTGGGGACAGTGGTAGGGACAGGGGGACAGTGGTGGGAACAGTGGGACAGCTCAGTGGTTCGAACCGGTAGTGACCCCCCCCTCCGGTTTTCGGGAGGGGGGGGGGGGTTCGAACCGGTAGTGACCCCCCCGGTTTTCGAGGAGGGGGCGGGGTTTTGCCGGGGGAGGGGGGCGGGGGGGGGGGGGGGGGGGGGGGGAGTGGTTACAGCAGGGGGGGCGGGGGGATTTTCGGAGGGGGGGGGACCCCCGGGTTCCGGAGGAAAAGGGCGGCAATTTTCCACAGTAAAGCGGCGGTGGATCACGCTCTCTCACATATGCACATACATGTATATGTATATATAAGCATACTCGCAGGCATCACCATCACTTTCCCTTTTTCGCTTCAGCGTTCCACCGTCGTAACCATCAACATCGCCACCCTCTTTCGTCATCATCGTCATCATCATCGGCGTCGCCACCAGCAGCAACAAGCTCTGCTTCCATGCGATGATGGTTTGGCCCGCGTGCCACTCAACATGTATACCCACCGAGTTCAGATTCACGCCACTTTCGTGCGTACGTCACCCCACTGGGGGTGGATTCCAGATTCGCACAAACGCCAGGGCACACCCTGGTCGGGTAAGACAGACGGGTCGGGCGGGCAGACACTGACGGGCGGGTTTGGCGGGCGGGCCCTGGTTGGCGGGCCACGACGGGCGGGCCAGGGGGGCGGGGAAGAGAACGAGGACAAAAACGATAACGACGAAGAGAAGGACGGGGAGGACGAGGAGGAGATGGAGGAGAAGGACGAAAACGAGGAGTACGAGGACGAGGATAAGGACGACGCGGACGAGGACTCTTCGAGCCATCTTGCAGTAGCCGTGGGCCTTTTTGGGGTCCTCTTGGGGCTATCTCTGTGCCAGTTTGGGGCTCTTTCGAGGGTACTGATGTCCTCTTAAGACGTTGTCGGGAAGTCTCCTGGCCCTCGTGGGGCTCTCTTGGAGCTCTCGTGGAGGGCATCGTGGGGCTATCGTGGAGGGCGTCGGTGAAAAGAGAGGGGTGTCAACGTCTAGCCCCCCCCCTTGGGGCCCTCGACGTCGCCCCTTGGGGCGCTCTTGGGGCGATCTTGGGCGCACTAGGGTTCGTCTTGGGGGCCTCTTGGGGATCTCTTGGGCCATGTTGGGGCCATTCACATGCTTCAAAAGCGCATCGGAAGCGCAAAGGCGAGAAGGCAATATTCACCGATTCTCCAAAGAGTGTTTGCACTTAGGG